AACCGGGGCTTTGGGAGGGTCTCGGGGGCTTAAACGTAGAGTTTCGGCGCGAGAAAGAGAAGAATGGAGCACCTAAACCCGGCACCCAAAGAGTTCTATTTATAGGGGCATTTCTGGTGTGCCACATCGTGGAAAGTGATGGCCATGTCGTGGGGAGTCAAGCTTATCCTCTTCCACTGATTGGACGCCCTCAGTCACTTGCCGGGTCGCGGCAAGCTTGTGCCACGTCGTGGCAAGCCTGACAGCCTTGGATTTCGGACCCCGAACTTGTAAAATCCATAACTTTCGCATACGAGCTCTGTTTTCGATGTTCTTTATATGCACGCGTAGCTAAAAACATGATCTATAACTCTCATTTAGACTTCATCGGCAAATTCTGAATTTATTTTTAATTATTTATTTTTAACGGGCCGGGACGCGATAATTCCGTTAAAAATCCATAACTTCTTCATCCGATGTCCGTTTTCGTCAGAATTTTCATCGTTGCGCTACTAATGTTGAGACCTTAGATTCACATTTAGGTTGTTTTGGTCAAAAGTATCTCGAGCTCTATTTCGAGTTTTTAGCTGTCTACTGCTATACCCGAATCTTGGAAAAATCATAACTTCCTCATACGAAGTCAGATTTGAATGTTCTTTTTATGTATGCTCACGGTTTGGGGTTATCTATAACTTCGATTTAGATACTTAAGGCTAAAAACTATCATATTGAAACTTCGCGTTTTTCGTTTAATCGGTGTTGCCGGTTTTGCCGAGAATCTTCGGTTGGTCATAACTTCTTCGCTATAACTCGGATTTTAGGGTTCTTTATATGTACGAAAACCTTGATACGATTCCTGCTACTTTATTTAAACCAAATAAGATTTTAGGAAAGTTATATTTTGACCGAAATTTGATTGGTTTTACATTACATTGTCTCGAAATATCGGGTTGTCACACACCGCCCTGACATCCTCCGCTGTAAGCTGGAAAGCACTACCCTGGGCCCTTGGGGGCTCCGCTCCACCCTGACCTCCACCCGTGATCCTCAATGTGACCGGTGTTGGAGCCTGCACCAGTCCCGCAACAAGCTGTGGACAGTTGACCCTCAAGTGCCCAACCTGATGACAATGATAACGGATCCTCAAATCCCGACCCGGGACTTCCTGCCGACAATCCCTCGCATAGTGCCCCTCTTTTCCATACTTGCGGGATGCACCACCGTACCTACAAACTCCGGTGTGACCCTTCCCACACTTCCCACAAGTGTGGCTGCTCTGATATCCCAATCTAGAATAGATGGTCTTAGACCATTTCGGTGCCGACTGCGACTGCACCGGAGCCGGCCTTTGCTCTTGTAACTGCAACTCAATCTCCAACTCACGCCGCCTGGCGGCCTCCGGTAATTCTAACAAGGTCTCACACCTCTGCGTAGACACGAACTGCTTGATATCCCTCTTGAGCATACTCAGATATCAGGACATCTAAGCCTGCTCCGAAGCAAATTCAGGGCAAAACATCGCCCTCTCAGTGAACATCCTGGTGATCTCGGTCACCGAATCCGAATCCTGCTTCAACTCAAGGAACTCCTGAGCCAATATCTCCCTCTCAACCTGCAGAACATAACGAGTGTTGAACATATCTCGGAACTGATCCCATGAAACTACAGCCCTCTGCGCATCTGAATATGACCCTGTGGTCAATCTTCACCAATCCTTCGCCCCAAGCCTCAACAGGTTTAGAGCACACCTCACCCTCTGATCAGCAGGGCATGAACACGTGAAGAAACACCCTTCCATGACTGACAACCATCTCATAGCAACAATCGGGTCCTGAACTCCATCAAAGGTAAGGGGCTTCATATTATCGAAGTCCCGATACTGGAAACCTCTACCAGCTCCTCCCCTTACCGCTGCTACAGCCGTTGTAGCCACCGCGGTAGCCATCTATATGAGAGCCGCATAACGCTCATCAAAATACTCCACCATGGCGGTCTTGATCGACCCAAACAGTTCCGGCAGCTCAGCCCGGAACAACGCAACAACCTCATCATGCAGGATCTCACAAATCCTAGTATCGAACTTGCCTGAGCTTATCTGACCAATAACCTCGGGCGGTACTGACTCGCCCTGACCTCCCTCTCCTGCTCCCGATCCTGACTTGGATCCACTCCCAGCATGCCTCGTGACCACCATACTGAAAAACACCACAAAATCTCAGATACTTCCCACTAACCTGGGAACCAACTCCCAACTCAACCATAGAGGTCATGGTTTCCCTGATAAGCATATGGGTCCGGTGCTTTCAGTAGTACGGGCTTATAGTACCTTCCACACCTACCCACATTTGTATGAAGTACTACCACGACACCCTAGTGACAAATATACATAACAAGCGCTCAATCCTCACTCCTAGAGGAACACTCGAAATCTCATACAGGAAGAAACCCTAGGCTAGCAGGCATCATAAAACAGGCAACATTATCATGAAATCCTGAAGATCCCTGGCCTAGTACTAACATGCTGTTCTATCAATGTTTGAAAACAAATATCATGTATGGTATTTTGGGGTTACTTACTGGCTCCGGCTGATCGTACCTCCGCGTCCTCCTTTTACTTATTTTGAAAACCATTTTAAATTCTGTTTTAAAAACTCTCCCTGATTTGAGACTGGATTCACACGAATGTTCCTCCAATTCACTCAAACCAAGGCTCTGATACCAACTTGTAACGACCAAAAATTTCAACAAAATTTTAAACATTTCAAACATCCCAATTTCTTTAATTTTTTACAAAAAGGTTTTCAATACATTTATTATCAGAGTATTCTCAGAACCATAACATAAATCATAAACACAAGGAGCGGTACGATCACGCTTTGCCTTGCTACGGTCTCCTAAAGAACCTGAAAAAACATTAAACCACAACTATAAGCCCGAACGGTTAGTGAGATACCCCCAAAATACCAACCACATATACCATACACACATAACATGCTATATCATAACAAATCATAGAACAACCATGCATATCAGGTCTACTGTGTGACTGGTCCGCCGTGTCGGGCCTTCAGTCCACCGGGTCCACCCTCCGAGTCTAGTCATGTCCCTTGAGTCTACAGTGTAGCTGGTCCACCCGCACCGGCCTTCAACCCACCTGGTCCACTCTCTGAGTCTACAGTATGACTGGTCCGCTCGCATCGTGCCTTCAGTCGGCCTGGTCCACTCTCCGAGCCTCGGCACGTCAGGACCGCTCTCGTGGGGCCTACAGCCTATCCGGACTGCTCGCTGGGCCTTTGGAATAACCGGTCCGCCCTGGGTATGTTGGCCTACAACACAAAGTAGGTCCCGCCTCAACCCAACCCCAGTCAAACAACCATGTGCACATAAACATACAATCATATAACAATTCACATTCAATCAAACCGATCTAGCAGATAACATAACACGACATACTCTAAGCAGGATACCGACCTAACCGGTCACTAGCATAACATCACCCTATATACCAGGATACCAACCTTAACCAAGTCTCTAACATATACCATCCTAACTACCAGGATGCAAACATAGTAAAACAGCAAAATAACAACAATACCCGGATTGCAATCCGATAAAGGGTCGGCCTTGGTGCCTTAGACCCTATTGATATAGTGAGGATAACTCACCTTGCAATTGCTGACTGAAAAGATAAGATCACGCTGCTCCAACCTCCGACACGAACTCCACCCCTGATAAAGCCGAAAGACTAAACCCAATAAATACGACAAAATACCAAAATGCCCTTAGAAGTCAACTGGTCAACTCTTGATCAAAGTCAAAGTCAAAGTCAACCTTCTAACTCACTCTACTCGCCAAGTCAGCCCGCTGACTCGCCGAGTACCCCAACACTAAAAAGTCCCATCTCAACTCACTGAGTCATCCCTTGACTAACCGATTCTTAGCTTAACCAGGAAAGGCTAAGACCTGAAGACCAGACTCGCCGAGTCCAAGAACAGACTCCCCGAATCTAAGGTTATCTTCAACCAACTCACCGAGTTGTTCTTCCAACTCGTCGAGTTCCTGCCCACCTTCAAGCAACTCGCCGAGTACACCCTTGTGACTCGCCGAGTACCACTTGCTCTTAACCCATACAGAAGCCTTGCAGGCCATGCAGTCGATCCAAAACGTAGATCTACCCTTCTACAACCCATCCATCACGTAAAGTGGCAAACTTTACGTGAATCCAAAGAGATCTAGGCATTTTACACTCTAGGGTTAGGGTTTAGGACAAGATGACTTCACCAAACACTTAACAACAGGGACTTTAATGCACTCTAGACCTTCTCCATTCTAGATCTGAGGTAGCAACCTCAGATCTAACCTTCAAACTCGAAATACCACAAGCAAAACTTTCCACACATTGCAAGATGATGAATCTAGATGAATAACAGCCCAAGAAACGAAGTAATACCTCAAAAGGAAGCCTCAACTGAAGAGAAATCCGATTCTTAGCAAAGCCCCTTGCTCCAAGCCTCCTATCTCTCCAAGATCTCCTTCAAAATCTCTTCTCCAAGGTTTAAATGCCCTCAAATCCCTCACAATCGCGTCTTAGGGTTTTCTGGACTTCAATAGAGGGTAAAGAGGCTGGGGAGAGGGTATAATGTCCTTTATATAGGGCTCATCCCCTGAAATTAGGGTTTTCTCCACTCAGCGCCTACTCGCCGAGTCCAGCCTCCGACTCGCTGAGTTGGCCACTTAACATGCGACCAGAGTCGTGACCCTACTCGCCGAGTCCAGCCATGGACTCGCTGAGTTGCCCTTTCATATTTACACTTTGAACCCTGAACTTGCACTCCTCAGCTCGGGATGTTACAATATGAGCTTGATTTTTAACATTCTTTATATCCGCGCGTAGGTATTGATGGGATCTACAACTTTTGTTTATATATATATATATATATATATATATATATATATATATACTCCAAACTAATGTCAAACATCTTAGCAAACTAAACATGATCGGGGCTTCTTGCTTCCTTTCAGTGTCTTCGGCTATCAACATCATTCCCAGAGTGAAGATCGCATCCAACTGCCCCTGATCGACTGCATCTTGAAGCAACTGTTTCCCTGCTATTTCTTCCCCTATCGTAAAATACTTCGCCTGACATAAAATAAGTAATCATACAATTTTAAAAATACAAATATATAAAACTAACTGAATTCGCAATTATTTGATTGCTTAAAAAAAGAGTACCATTCCATCGTTGAAGAGTACGTATGGGTTGTTCAACTTTCTACATTTTCTTATGACTTCATATTGTTGAATACTTAATGGACGAAACCTTAATCGATTTGTGTCTATGATTTTATATATTGCGTTTGATGTTATAGAATCCCTAAATAGTTTCGAACTATAATTCAGAAAGCAATAAAAGTAATCTATTAAACAATAAATTAAATATGTATATAAGTATAATATAAGTAATGCACATTATCCTTACACTAATTGGCACATAAAAGCATCGATTGGTGAAGTTCCTCCAACCGTAGTTACTATTTTTTCGATCAAGTGGACGGAAAAGTAGTAGTTTTTGCTCCTTGTTGTCTTCTTTAAATTCTTTCTGATGAACAAGTCGTTGCCATTATCTTGAACTGCGTCGAGTGTGATTCAAATTATATAACAACAATGATTTTAGGGTTTATTTATCAATGTGTCGGAATTTTCATTGGTGGTAATGGAATGTAGATCATCAATCGCCGATAAACTGATACGACAGGATAAATCTAACTACAAATTATGGTGCCTAAGTGCTTAGACTATAAATTGACATAATTGCCCTTTAATGTACAACAATTACAACGTAAATGGTTAGGGTATAATTGTCAATACCTATGGGCATTTTTGTAAATAAATTGACATTCTAAATTTAAAAAGATGAAGTTAAATAAATTTATTGATTAAATTCAGAGAGATGAATTTAATTAAACTTTTTGACAATTGTAGGATTCGAACCTGCGACTTCGGGTAGGAAGAAAGAAGCGTTTGCGACCAAAACTAAATTAACTTCCGTTTATTCTAATTGAAAAACCATAATATTATGTTCATTAACATTGCAGCCCATATGCCATCCATATATACCATAAGCCACTACCATGTTGACCAATGACACATATGTCATCCATGGACACCATAAGCCACTACCATGTTGACCAATGACCCATATGTCATCCATGGATACCATAAGCCACTACCATGTTGACCAATGGCCTATAGGTCATCCATGGACACCATAAGCCAATAACATGTTGACCAATGAACCATATGTGATACATGGGTATCCCATGGATAACATAAGCCACTACCACGTTGACCAATGACCCATATGTCATCTATTGGTATACCATGGACACCATAAGCCACTACCATGTTCACCAATGATCCATACGTCATCCATGGACACCATAAGCCACTACCATGTTGACAAATGACCAGTATGTCATCCATGGACACTATAAGCCACTACCATGTTGACCAATGACACATATGCCATCCATGGACACCATAAGCCACCACCTTATTGACCAATCATCCATATTTCATCCATCGACACCATAAGCCATTACCATGTTCAATAATCACCCATATGTCATCCATGGACACCATAAGCCACTACCATATTAAGCAATGACCCATATTTCATCCATGGATAATATAAGCCACTATCATGTTGACCAATTACACATATGTCATCAATGGACACCATCAGCCACAACCATGTTGACCAATGGCCCACATATCATCCATTAACACCAAAATCCACTACTATGTTGACCAATAACCCAAACGTCATCCATATGTCATCCATGGACACTATAAGTCACTACTATGTTGACCAATGAGTCATATGTCGTCCATGGACACCATAAGCCACTACCATGTTGACCAATGGCCCATATGTCATCCATGGACACCATAAGCCACTACTATGTTGACCAATGACCCATATGTCATCCATGGACACCATAAGCCATTACCATGTTGGCCAAAGGCCCATATGTCATCCATGGACACCATAAGCCACTACCATGTTGACCAATGACCCATATGTCGTCCATGGACATGATAGCCCACTACCAGAATGACCAAAGACCCATATGCCATCCATAGACACTATAAGCATATACCATGTTGACCAATGACCCATATATCATCAATAGGTATACCATGGACACCATAATCCACTACCCTAGTCACCAATGACCCATACATCATCCATGGACAACATAAGCCACTACCATGTTGACCAATGACCAGTATGTCATCCATGGACACTATAAGCCACTACCATGTTGACTAATGACACTTATGTCATCCATGGACACCATAAGCCACCACCATCTTGACCAATCATCCATATTTCATCCATGGACACCATAAGCCATTACCATGTTCAACAATGACCCATATGTCATCCATGGACACCATAAGCCACTACCATATTAAGCAATGACCCATATGTCATCCATGGACACTATAAGCCACTACCATATTTACCAATGAACCATATGTCATCCATGGACAACATAAGCCACTACCATGTTGACCAATGGCCCATATGTCATCCATGGACGCCATAATCCACCACCATATTGACAAATAACATAAACATCATCCATATGTCATCCATGGACACCATAAGCCTATACCATGTTGAGCAATGTCCCATATGTCATCCATGGACACCCTAAGCCACTACCATATTAAGCAATGACCCATATGTCATCCATGGACAACATAATCCACTACCATATTGACCAATGACCCATATGTCATCCATAGACACCATAAGTCACTACCATGTTGACCAATGTATCATATGTCATCCATGGACACCATAAGCCATCACCATGTTGACCATTGACCCATATGTCATCCATGGATACCATAAGCTACTACCATGTTCACCAATGACCCATATTTCATCCATGGACACCATAAGTCACTACCATGTTGACCAATGACCAGTATGTCATCCATGGACACCATCAACCACTACCATGTTGACCAATGAAACATATGTAATCCATGGATAGCATAACCCACTACCATGTTGACCAATCATCCATATGTCATCCATGGACACCATAAGCCATTATCATGTTCATTAATGACCCGTATGTTATCCATGGACACCATAAGCTACTACTATATTAATCAATGACCCATAGGTCATCTATGGACACTATAAGCCACTACCATGTTGACCACTGACCGATATCTCATCCATGGACACCATAACCCACTACCATGTTGACCAATGACCCATATATCATCCATGGACTCCATAAGACACTACCATGTTGACCAAAGACCTATATGTCATCCATATCTCATCCATTGACACCATAAGCCATTGACATGTTGACCAATGACCCATATTTCATTCATGGACACCATAAGCCACTACCATGTTGGCCAATGACCCATATGAAATCCACAGACACCATAACCCACTACGATGTTGACAAATGAACCATATGTCATCCATAGACACCATAAGCCACTACCATGTTGACAAATGACACATATATCATCCATGGACACCATAAGCCACTACCATGTTGACCAATGACCCATATGTCATCCATGGACACCGTAACTCACTACCATGTGGAAAATTGACCCATATGTCATACATATCTCATGCATGCACACCATAATCCGCTACCATGTTGACCAATGACCCATTTTGTATCCATGGACACCATAAGCCACTACTATGTTAACAAAGCAGCCATATGTCATCCATAGACACCATAAGCCATTATGACGTTGACCTATGACCTATATGTCATCCATGGACACCATAAGCCACTACCATGTTAACTAAAGACCTATATGTCATCCATTGACACCATAAGCCACTGACATGTTGACCAATTACCCATATGCCATCCATGGACACCATAAGCCACTTCCATGTTGATCAATGAACCATATGAAATCCATGGACACCATAACCCACTACCATGTTGACGAATGACCAATATGTCATCCATGGACAACATAAGCCACTACCATGTTGATAAATGACCCATATGTCATCCGTAGACACCATAAGCCGTTACCATTTTGACCAATGGCATGTATGTCATCTATGGACACTATAAACCAATACCATGTTGACCAGTGACCCATATGTCATCCATATGTCATTCATGGATATACCATGGACAACATAAGCTATTTCCATATATATATATATATATATATATTGATATGAGCCGTACTTCTTTTGTATATAAGTTTCGGTTTAAACTTAAAAGCATAAAGATGTATAGTTTATTAATGTTTAGTCGTTGTATATGATTTTAAATTAAAATTATACTATAAACACATCGTTGCTCTATGTTCTTTCTTGACGTGATTTATATGTATATACCCTATCTATCAATCTGTAACTACTTTAATAAATTAGAATTATTAAATAATTAGCGATAATTAGCACATTTCGAATTTTTTATTAGCCAATGTTCAAAATATTTCACTATTCCTTTCACTCTAACCTACACATGTTTATGGTGCATATTAGGGTAAGTTTACTGATTAGAAATAGGGTTTACATATTCTATAATAATCATCTATAGTGGCTAATTGATCGAAATCTTTGATCATTATACGTTTGTGCACTGACTTTGGCGATATAGGTTGTCACTCATCTAAAATTTATTTTTATTTAATTGACTGTTATCGTGATGATTGATCGTTTTTTTTTTCTCTGATCATCTTCATGTATATTATCATCTTAAATTACAAGTAAATTGGTTTTGATTGTATTCGATAGTTTGCATGCAAAATAATGCCTTCATATATAATTTATTTTTATTGTTTTTGTCTCTCTTGTCACCAGTAGTTTATCATCTTTAATACATTGGTATTGACTACAATTTTTTGTTAATTTTTAAGCCAGAAAGATGTCGACCTCGAAAGCAAAAGGAGCATCTGGTGTGAAACCAACTAAATTCATTGCACCACATGTTATGAAATGTAACAAGATTTCAGCTGCAAAATTCGTAAACAGATAGTTTCAAGATGAAGATATCTACTTCCCAATACCAACAACCACATCCAAAGCACCTGTAACATCTACAAACAAAACCCCTAAACGTTTATCATCAACATTACCCATGACTACCACTTCCTCGACATCACTTACAACATCCACACCATCCTTAGAAGAAACATCTAAAACTTCAGAAACCGGAACAATACAATCCTCAACACTTACATCAATAACCAAAACTTTAGCACCTACATCATGTAAACCATCCTCAACATCGACACCCACTACCACATCATCAACACCTATATCTACTACCACAACCTTAAAACCTGCATCTACACTACGATCCTCCACAACTACAGTAACTACCACACCCTCCTTAAGTAAATGAACTACCACATCCTCAACATATACATCTATCCCAACACCTACCCTAGAATATACCCCATCAACAAGAAATATCCTAGAATCTACCCCATCACCAACACAACCAACCATGAATGGATCTATAGTGGAAAGTGTAGAAGGTGAAAACAATTCCTCTGAAGATTGTGGACAAGATGGATGTTTAACTGTTCATGTTTGGAAAAAAATGTGAGTTACCAATCAAATCTTAATTACAAGTTTTTCTATGTATAAACTTTTGTTTTACACGTACATATCAATTCATAATCTAACACATCACATGATAACTTGAAGGCTAATGCCACCAAGGCCTTGTGCACACTTTATTAGTCAGCCCTTTAAATAAAGAGTAGATCCAGAAGGGTACGCTTAGGCAAAAGTAAGCAAAGGAATGAACGAATTAGATTGGGAGGAGTTTCAAGTAATTAACTATATGTGATAAATTGTTATTTGGTAAACATTTACACTTAAAATTATGTTTATATTGTTAATGTGTATAAAAAATGTTCTTGGGATGAAACAATAGACTCAGTGGTGAGGCAAGCTTGGGCAAGGAAAGCGGCAGAAAGTTATAGTCAATATCTCTTCAACATGAGGAGCCCAAAAAGAAACAAACATGGCTTTAAACTAGCTCATATTCCACAGGAAGTATGGAACTCTTGGCAATTAAAATGGAATATAGAAGAATGCCAGCTAAAATATGAGCAGAACAAGAAAAATAGGCGTAACGGTATGGCTGATGGAGGTTTAAAACCTACACATAACGCTGGATCCGCAAGTCATTTGAAGATATCTTCTGATTTGGTAATTTTTTTTAAATGGTACATTGTATCAATGTTTGTATATGCTTATCTGTATATTTGACATTTTATATGGTATTTATGCAGAAGAGGAAATTAGGACATAAGCCACCCCATAGTGAATTGTTCCTATATAGACACATGAAGAATGAAGATGGAGTCACTTTCACAAATGAAAAAGATATAGAAGTACATGTAATATTAATTTCAGTTTAAACCTTTATATTGTAGCTACT